CACGCCCCATGTCACCCTCAAATCGAGGTGTTGCAGCGGGTGCGGGGGCCGCGACGCCAGGGTCGCCGGGGTATGCTCCTTGAGGTGCGCGACGTCGGAAAGGTCCAGCTTCGTGAGTGTCAACTCGCGCAGATCCGGGCAATGCTCCGCGAAGTGCCGCAACGCCCGCAGTGGCGGCACGCTGCATACAGGCACATATGCGAGGCCCAGGGAGCGGAGGCGAGGCCACGTTTGTGCGACCGCGAGGAGGTCGTCTTCGCTCACGCGGAAGAGGGTGTTAAGGATGCGGAGGTCGAGTGCTTCGAGGTGTCGGAGGGCGGCGAGCGGTTGGATGATGGTTGGATGGAAGGGGATGGGAAGATGCGCTTGTGTCTCGTCATCGTACGTCTGGGTGACGAGCCTCAGCTTCCGCAGAGACGATGCGAATCGCGCGTTCGACAGGGCGGCTATGCAGTGCTGGTGGCTGCCTGTGTAGGTGTTTCCGTCTACTGTGATCATCAGGGTGTGTAACGAGGGCGCATCCAGTCCGTGGCCAAGCAATCCTGCGAGATCTCGAGCTGGACCATTCACTCGCAGGTCCTGAAGGGAGGCTGTCATAGTGACGTGTTCCGGAGAGTCGTAATCGCGAATGGGGGCAGAAAGCACTTCGAGTTCGGGCATGGCTTCGGAGATGCGCTGCATGTCGGACGGTGCGAGGCTGCATAGACTTCCAAACAAGAGTAGTTCGCGCATGCGCGAGAAGCCGGTGATATGGGGTAGCAGAACAGAGCCTGGAAGGTGCCGACTGGATAAGACCAGTCGCGAGATATGCGGTGCAGCGGTGGGCAGGCCGGCAAACAGCGCTTCGGATTCCGTGTAGTCATTATCGGGCGCGGGCGTCGATGCATATCCGAAGGGGGAGAACTGCCTGGATCGCGTAGTGGACAGTTCTAAGCCCTTCAGATAGGGAGAGACTAAGCTGAGGAGAGTGGTGTCGGAAGGGAAGTTATGTCGCCACGAGAGGGTGTGAAGCGTGGGTAGAAACGTCTTCCCGCCGTTGTACTGCAATATGGCACGGATGAGGACCAGCTCGGCCTCTCTGCACGATGCGACCCCGATCTCGCGAACGTGCGCCGCGCGATGTAGGAAGCGTTGCCATCTCTCAGGCTCATTTGTCGCAATCTGCTTCACAAACTCTTCGGGATCCACAACCTGCCCGATGCACGATCATGTCAGCGAATGTTTTAGCTGGCTTATGACAGGCTTCTTACCTCCCAGAACTCGGTGAGCCCTTTTGCGGATGGTGGAAAGTTCAGCCCTGCCAGCAGCGCCCACAGCGGATGAAGAGAGTCGAGGGTCCTCCACAGCACCTGGGACGCAGGACCGGACCAGGCGTGGCAGACCAAAGCGCAGCTTGCCAGAGTCCGGCGGCCAGCACCTCTCCAGCGGGATTCGAAGATGTCGAAGATGTATACGAGGATGTCATAGTGGTACAGCGCCACCGGCGTCGCGGACGAACCGTTCATGGTGGCTGTGGACGATCCGATAGAGTTGTCTGTGCTGTAGAATGCCTGGTGAGTGTCGGTGCAAGAGAACAGTAGTTGCGCAGTCGAGCTTACTTATTCACCGTCTCGAGGAGCGGACTGATCGCAGTCAAACTTTGCCAGAGCACCAATTCACCTGCTACGCAGCCCGTTCGATTTGTCACAATCGCAGCAGACGCAATGATTTCACGTTGGATCCAGTCATGAACAAGTACGTACTATTGAACTTGTTGGTTTCCTCTTGATACTGATGTATGTACTCACAAATGATACTCCTGCCAAACGGACTACAATGACTTCTTGCAATTGGACGTGGCGGTTACCCGTCAACTTCGCCAATATCAGCAGATGTACGGCATTGTAGGACTGTGAACAAGGGCAATAAGTATTGATAGTTACATCAGTACCATCCGCTATAAATGGACTACTACCATCCATCTTATTTCGAAGTAATGCTTGGTGTGACTATACTTACTTCTCATTTTCTCACGGATTACAACCACATTAGTCTATCAGCACGTCCCAACGAGCGCGTGTACTTTGACCGCACGCCGCGATCTGGAAACGTACAATTGCAAGGCCGCCCTACTAAGTAACCGCCAGTGGTGTCGACTAGGTTTGTGTACAGTACTTATCACCGGCTAGCTGTGAAACACATCGTGACGCAGCCGTCCGTTGGACGCAGGAATTCTGCGTGACGATTGAAGTTGATTGACCGTGAGTAGATTCGTGGCTATCCCATTTTTTCGTCAAATGCACTGACATCATCTTGGTCCCAATAGGTCATTACTCGCAGTGCAATTACTTAGTAGGATCGCACTTGACATCAAAGTTTTGCCGTCATGTTCAAGAAAGCCTTAGCGGATCTCAAGACATCAGGCAAGCTCATTGTTCTCGAAGCAATGCATACTTACTGAAGTACCCTACTCATTCACAGCGCCTCTACGCAGCTCAGATCGTCGGAAGCTCAAACAGCGTGTTCTGCAATCGTTTCCTGTCTTGCAGCCAGAAGAAGGCGATCTGCTAGTTCCCGATGGGCTGCAGTCGCAGAAGTTCAGCACTCATCTCGAGGAGCCTGGTGTATGCACGATGTCCAACGAGATTAGGGAGGAGCCTGGCTAAGACTCACACAGGTAGCGTATTTCTCTCCCGAGGGTGACCCGCTGTGGTTTACCATCGGGAAAGGTTCTGAAGAGCTGATTCCTACCGGTAGGTCACACCGTCTTATGCACTTACTTCTCAGATACTGACCTTCGGAATGGCAGTATACACGCTGTGGAAGCGTCCTGATCTTCTGCCCTTCCTGTCCACGCCTGCACCGGTTGTCCCGAAGCTCATAAGTGGCGCAGATCTCATGATCCCTGGAGGTATAGTCGCATTCCTCACCTGCATACATCGGCTGTTAACGCAAACCTGTCGCTTTCGTCCCAAGGAAGTCATCCAGCATTCGCCGAACCTAGTTCCTGACCAGCTCGTCTCCGTGACGCAGTACCATCGCGGAGCGATCGGCCCTCCTCTTGCCGTTGGGCGCATGGCGGTCTCCTCCGACACGCTCCGATCTGCCGAAGAGAGGGATATCAAGGGCAAGGCCGTATACGTCCTGCACACCTGGAAGGATGCCCTGTGGGAAATGGGGTCGAGTAAGAAGGCGGACGTACCTGCCCCGCGAGAGTTCGGGGTGACGGGCGAGGGCGATGAATCGAACAATGACGATGCTGAGGCTTCTACTACAGCTATGCAGGAAGCCCAACCGCCGGATCCTGATGTGGAACCCAAGAGCAATGGCGTACAGGAGCCTGCAGCCGATCAGACGGAATCGGAGGTGAAGCCTACTGATGGCGAAGGCGAAGGCGAAGGGAGCTCTTCTACCGCCAAGTTGACTGCAGAAGGTTTGTCGTCCTGGTGCCTTGGAAATGGAGATTGCTGATCGTGATTTGTAATGTCACAGACGTCTCCTCGCTCCTCAGGACCGCATTGATCCAGGCCATTGGCACCACTCTGTCCAAAATCCCGCCGTCGAGTTTCCCAATGTCAGCTTCTACCTTCTGGAGTACGTATGTACTGCCCGCTCGACCTGCATTCGCATTAGAGATGTACGGCCTTCCAGGCAAGTAACACGTTCTTTGCTTTCATCGCTCTCCCACAAGTTGCAAATCGTGGATATCACAGACGCGAGCTCCATTGATGTCAAGCATTCTACGTTCAAGAACGTCAAAACATTTCTGAAGGCCTCGGCGAAGGAGGGTCTTATCAAGCTGAAAGAGAGTAAGAGCGACGTTACCGTCACTGGTATGCCAATTCTGTTTCCCCGCTTCTAGCTGCAGCTGATGATTCTGTGGCAGCCGTGTTCCCGCAGCACCCAGATGTCCTTGCTCGGAGACCTCACCGCACTATTGGAGACATCGAGTCAAAGGTCAAGAAAGCTGAAGACAGGGAACAGAAGGAAAGAGAGGCGGAGGAGAAGCGCAAGGGCGAGATTCAAGTCTCAGAATTGTGGAAGCCGTATGGAACTACCGTTCCCTTCTTTGTCGCTGCTGAGAAGGAGTCAGTCACCTTGCTCTTCGTACGCTTCACACACTGCTGACTCGTCCCATAGTACGTCGGAGCTTTACACCCCGACGGAGATCAGAAACATTGTCAACGACTACGTCTCATCGCACAACCTCATCAACGCCAACGATCAGCAGTATATCAACGTTGGCTCGGACCAGGCGCTCGCCACTGCCGTCTCCGTGAAGGGAGAAGACACGCCAGAGTTCATGAAGCGCGACGAGGTGCTCCGGCGAGTGCGCGCGCACATGCAGACTTGGCACGAGATCCGTGCTGAAGGGCGAGATGCGCTAAGGAAGTAAGTCGCACTTCGCTTGACCTCTCGACGGATCTGAGCTGACAGTTTCTTAGAAAGGGAGAGTTGAAGCCTATCTCAGTGGTCATGAAGATCAGGCAGGGTCGCAAAGCCTGCACGCTGATCACCGGCTTCGAACCATACGGTTTGCAGGCCGAAGAGCTCGCAGAAGAGCTGCGGAAAGTGTGCGCCAGCTCAACGTCTGGTGAGTCTAAATCTATTCGGTGCGATAACGTCTCTTAACAAAAGCGTCGTCGTATAGTCACTCCTATACACGGCAAGCCGAACTCCCTCGAGGTCATGGTCCAGGGAAAGCAGGTGAAGGCTGTGGCTGACCTGTTGATAGCCCGTGGAGTTCCAAAGAGGTGGATTGAGACTTCAGATCTGACGACGAGCAAGAAGAAGTGAACTGCTGGTATATATGTATCAATACAGAAGTCTTCCAAATGTTTGTAGGCACACGGTATCCTATGTCAGTTACGTGAGCTGTCGTCAGCTCGACCTTCGCTATCAACCTCTACTCAAGGCCCGACCATACCCATCTGTGAGCTCGGCCGAGATCGACAACAATCAAGCTTCTGAGGGCTTTTCCCTTCGTTTTGACAAGGAAAACATAGCCTGACAAAAGACAATGACCACCGCAGGGGTCGAACCTGCAATCTCCTGATGCCCGAGGTTTACGTTCAACACTCGTAGTCAGACGCGATGCCATTTCGCCAGGCGGCCGTCGGGAAGTCTGTGGCGTTAGGCGCTAGGAGGTTGATATATGTACCCGGATCGGGTAGTGCCACCTTCCAGACACAATATAAGCGCCCATTTTGCCCAGTCCTAAGAAGGCAATTTGGCTGATGTAATTGTGCCTGCCGCGCTCTCAGGCTCTCAGGCCCAGGCTCAAGCAAGGATCAAGATAAGTACTTATTGCCACCGGAGATCATAAGTAGAACGACACAGCAGGAGGTGCCTCTACACAGGACTTGTGCTTCATCACTCGTCAGACAAGGCCTACTGTGGAACTTTTGACATCATATCAGAAGTACAAACAGCCATCACACCTACTGTAATCCACCGCCGTCTACCCAGTCTACCCAACCCGCCCGCGGCGCAGTCTAGGTTTGACGGCCCTCGTCGCACGAATCAGAGATGCCCACTCTCGCAGGTGAGTAAATGCTATGATGTTCTCACGTTCGTTGCGCTCATCTTGGCCTGCGTCGTCGACCATGGCGGCAGAGCTACGGAGCAAAGCCTCCAAAGTCAAGGATGCTGGCGTTACAAGGATCGTGAATACCAAGGACAAGATGACCAGTCAACCCAGCAAGAACATCAATTGGCACGCAGAGATCAAGCCAAAGCCTCCCCCGCCGGCCAAGCCAGAGTACAGGCCACCACCGCCGCCCTCGAGGACGTCCTCCTCCACGAGCAGTGCGAGTGCTCAGAGCAAGGCTCCAGCGCCGCCTGTCCCCGTACGTAGGGCAGGGTCCTCTGCGTCATCCTCTCTTGCGAGGTCTGCGAGTGCGACTAGCCAGGCAAGCAATGTCAGCCCGAGTCCTCCGCCGCGCCCACCTCCTCGATCGATCCATAGCGCCGCTAGCCATAGCGTGTCGCCCAGTCCTCCACCATCGACCGCAAGTTCCAATCATGCCGGCCCACCCCCACCCATTCGCCGAGAAACCCGGCCAGACCTTGCGCCGCCGGCACCGCGACCAGCACTCTCGGCGGCGAAGGTCCATGACACAGCGGCTGACATTGATCGGATCGACTGGACGAACTTATCTCCGGAGGACAAGCAGGCGTTTTTCACCTGGCTGGACGAGTTCTTCTCGCGCTACCTGGGCAGGCCAGTCGGTTCTCAGGATACCACGAGTAGTACATATGGGGCGAAGGCGGCTGTTAGTGGATATGCGCCTCCCGTAAGTCGTACTTTGTAGAAGTGTGCATGTTGAATCCAACCGGGCTGCGTCTCTTTAGCCCAAGATATCAGTAGCATCCCGGCCTGCTATGCCATCGCGACCCTCGATGACTGAGGGACCCATCACGTCCTACCCGCCTCACCCAGAACGAGGCTCCTCCGCGGAAGATCTCGCACATTACTTCTCACCCACGACGCACTGGCCGTCCGCATGGTATACAGAGGAGAACTTGGTCCCTCCACCGCTTCGCGGGAACCAGCATCTGACGTGGACGGGTTCATGGTGGTCAGACGGGCGTACCAAGACATTGGCGGTCGGGGTGCTCTTCGCGGACCTCAGCATGTGCTGGTACACGGTCGCCTTCCCGCCGCACCTCACCCCCAACACGCCGCACGACCCCAATGACGCGCGAACAGTCCAGCGTCATGCCGCTTACCTCCCACGTCCAGCACCCTGGGATCCCGAGAGACTAGTCGCGGCGCACGAGACGTACGGCGAGACCATCGCCTCCTTTGCCGAGAGTTTCGAGGGTACCGGCAGGCATTGCGCGCGGGGCGAGTGCTGGGACCTCGCGAACGAGGCGATCAAGAGCTTCGAGCAGTACGACTGGGTGCCGAAACCCGTGCCGAGCATCTCGCGCACGCACGGACACCTCATCTACGAGGGTCGCGCGGCCGACAAGGGCCGCACGCAGGTCGGGAGATGGCGCGGAGGGGACGACCGAGTGCGGAGAGGCGACATTGTCGAGTGGCGGAAGGCGAGGGTGAGCAGGGGCCCGTATGCCTGGTCGACGTTGGGCGATCCGGACCATACGGCGGTCATCGTTCGCGACATGGTACCCCGGACGGCGGTGAAGGATGGGATGGCTGTTCCGCCAAGGGAGTTGGGCACGCTAGAGGTCGTCGAGCAAGGCGTGACTTCGCCGCCGAAGAGGGAGCGATACGACCTTTCGCAGTTTGAGGAGGGCGAGGTGTGGATCTACCGCCCAGTGGGTATGGTAGAGTATCTGGGGACGCTGCTGACGGCGAAATGCCCGGAGGACGTGGATGCATTGACTGTCTAGTTCATTGTTGTCGTAACTTATGCCGTCGCTGGATTCACCTGGAGGTCATTCACAGCTTGTCGCACAGAATCCTCATGACTTGAAGATGGTATAAATTACAACAGAAACCCATGTGGTCGTACACAATCCCAGAAACCCATGTCATGCAAAGTGAATGCCCACGTCGTGGAACGCGGCGAGCAATCTGAAGATCGCATTAGGCCAAGCCCTTCGTTGACGATGGTGAACACATACTTTAGTAGGTCGTTGATGTCCATTTTCGCAGCACGCGATTCCGCGAAGCCAGTCTCCTCGAGCACCTGCTCCACCTTCTGCTTGAAGTTCATGCCGTCCTCCACCATCTGCGGGCTCGATCAGCCCTCCACTCTGGCAAGTCTCCACGTGAAGGCAAGGCACGCACCACATTGTTCACAGAAGCCCATGTCTTCCAATTGCTCTCCAACATCTCCATCACGCCCTTCGCCATAAAGTTCGCATGCACGGTCTTGTTCCGCCTGCTGAACACGATCCGGCCCAACCCGTCAAACTCGCCAAACTCCACTGGAGGTGGGGGATCGCGAGGGACGACGCGGACGACGCTGCTCTCGACCTTTGGCGGTGGGCGGAAGTTGTTCTTGTTGACGTGCATGATGAGGTCGACCTTGGAGTAGAGCTGCACGTTCGCGGAGAGACGCGACCATAGCGCGGACCCCGGGGTTGCAACGAGCCGCGTCGCGAACTCGCGCTGGAACATGAGGATGGCTACGCGGAATAGGGGTCGATGTGAGAGGAGACGGAAGACGAGGGGCGAGGAAATTTGGTAGGGGGTGTTCGAGATGCAGACGTCAAAGTAGGGCAGGTCCGCCTTCACGAAGTCGCCGATCATGATCTCGAGCTTGCGTTGCTCTGGCCTGAAGCACGCGGATAGTGTAAGATGACAGTAACTTGGTGGGAGAGGGGCGGAATCACGTACTTTCCCTGCACACGCTTCGTCAACTCGGCCGCCATCCGAGGGTCCATCTCCACCGCCGTGACATGTTTTGCCTTTTCGAGGATGCGCACCGTGAGGTTACCCGTACCAGGACCGACTTCGAGCACCTTGTCTGTGGGTCGCAAGTTCGCCTATACAGTTCCGGTTAGGTGGTTATCACACTACAGCGACGCTTCGAGGGCCAGAGGCGGATACTCACAGCGTCTACTATTCTATGCAGTAAATTATCATCAATACAAGGCGAAGAGATACAGGCTATTCCACGTACGATTGGGCTGTCTGCGGGTTCTTCAAAATATGCTGACCGAACCGCTCTGTGTTGAAGATGGGATTGCGAGCTGCCGCAGAGGATCCAGACGCCTCTGAAGACGCTTTTGATTTGGCAGAAGGCTGGTGCGCGCGAGTAAACCGGTCTGATGTTGCTCTCGGCATTTTTGTTCAGAACTTGGCCCACTTCCGTGAGACTGGGCAGATGGACAGGTAGACGGCGAGATGAGAGGAAGACTTGCACGGTGCAGACGGCGATCGCGCGCAAGAAAGCAGCGTTGCAAGAATTTCCGTCCCCGATCGTCACGGAAAACCCACGTGGCACCGACATCAGCCCCGCATTTGGACCGCAAGCGCGCGCAAGAAGGTTGCAACCGCCGCCACAATGCCCGCACCACACACTCTCCAAAGCACTCTCCAACAGTCACAAAATGCGCAGTGGCTGGAAAAGAAGCGGTGAAGAATGGTGGGGATGGTGGGGATTTGACGTCAAGTGATATGTTGGGCGGTCTCCCGTCCAGATATAAAAGCCTCAGTGCTGGCCAGGCAAGTCCCTCGAGAACGCAACGACGACATAACATTCACGACTCTAACGCTACTCGAACGCACACTCAGCTTATCGCACTTTCTCTCCACCATGCACTCGACTAACAACGGCCACCTTTTCCAATCAGAGGCTTCCCGCTACTCCAACGCTGGCCCAGTTAACCTGAAGGATATCTCCGAGGGTATATAGACTGCTGTTTCTGCCAGCGACACGGCGCTGACAAGTGACTATAGCTGATGTCACGCCGCATAATGTCCGAGGAGCACAAGGCTCTTGGCTACCGCCCTCCTCCTGGCTCGCTTGCTTCTCAAGCCCAAGCCGTCATCGCGCGCCATGAGAGCAAGCGTGCGGATGAGCACGCTCTCACGCTCAACGAGGAACAAATCCGGCAAGCCGCTCTCGCTGACGCGGAGCGCATCAAGCAACAACGGGATAGCGGAGCTGGCAGCGCCGCAAAGGTGGACCTCAACGCGGTCGGCGAAGGTATGCATCCCTCGAGTGCCATCACCCGTGCGTTGCCGATACTCATGTCTTCTTCAGCTGAGGCGCGTAAACTCATGTCTGATGAGCACAAAGCTCTCGGGTATCGTCCTCCCCCTGGCTCGCTGGCTTCAGAGGCCCAGTCAGCCGCAGCAAAGCACCCTGACGCCTCAGCGGGCGTGGATAGCACTATCCTTGCCAAAGCTGCCCTCGAGGACGCGACTCACATTGCTTCAAGTGACGGTAGCTCTCGTGAGCTCGACTTGAAACAAGTCGGCGAAGGTAAGCGGCGGTCTTCCCTGGCGTGCGAGTATCTGTTGACTCACGGCCGTTTATGACGCAGCTGAGGCGCGCAAGCTCATGTCTGAGGAGCACAGAGCGTTAGGATACCGCCCGCCGCCTGGCTCATTGGCCTCTACGGCCCAAGCAGAGGCAGCAAAGCATCCAGACGCACACGCCGATGTCGACCAGGCTACTCTGGCTGAAGCTGCG